AATGTTTCCAAAACTATATCGAAGAGGAGTGGTGATAGTGGCATCCTGTCTTGTTCCTGATTTTAACGTGAAGGTTTTCAGTTTTTGGCCACTTAATATGATGTTGGCTGTTGGTTTTTCATAGATAGTCTTTATTAAGTTGAGAAACAATCTTTTGCAAGATTGAGGAAACTACACATTGAAACTGACTGTTGTAGCCAGGCATGTTGGCACATGCTTTCAATCCCAGCACTCTGGGAGATTGATGCAGGCAAGAGAATTCCAAGTTCTAGCCCAACCTGGATAACTTAGTGTCATAGCAAGACCGTGTTTCAAAATAAAAAATAAAAAAGCTTGAGGGTGCAGCTTGGTATAAGAACCCTGGGCTTATATATATATATATATAAATATATACACACACACACACACACACACAATTTAAAATAAAAATTAAAAATGTGTTAATATAAAAAAAGGAATTGGAATTTAAAATTATCAGAGAAACTGTCAATCTTAAGAAATATAAAAAAAATAAATAAAGATCACTTAGTGGCTTAAGTCTTGAGGAGGTAGCACTCTAAGTATTCTACTATCCAAAGTAAAAGCTATTACCAACTTCATTAATCTACTGGATCATTAGTTAAGGTTAAAAGGATAATATCAGAAAACTTAACTCCATTTACCATAGTAAAAATCTTTCTCACAGAATAACATGAGAAGGAAAAAGATGGGGATGAGTATAGTGCAACTTGACTTTCAGATTACAGATGATTATACAACTAATTATAATATAGGAAATGAGATAAATAAACTGTAATTCTCTGGTGCTTAGCATTGCATGCTCAATCAATATCTTTTATTAGCATTCATGATCTTTATTAGAAGCTCAAAAACTGACAAAGACCAAACTTGACAACCAGAGGGGATTGATGACTCGAGATGCCGTGAAAATGTGTCTATCCTACTAAGTGACAAGGACAACCACAGGAAAAGAAACACTCCTCATGTGAAGAAGTGCTAATGGAGATATAAGACTCTGGGAAGCATATAAAATCTGATCTTTATTATTAAATAAGCCTAGCCATATAAATGCTACTTAAAAAATAATGCATATATCCCACTTTGATCCAGACCATGCACCGACTACATACTATATACCTATCATATTTCTTTTTAAAATTCAGTGTATATAGACTTTGTATAGCCTACACATAGAAAGTAACGGCAAGAGAACATTCAAACTTGAAAATCTAACTCCTGAAAATGAATTTTATCGATTCAGAATAAAATAAAATATGAAGAATGAAATAAACCATAAAAAGGCCAGCGTAAACTAGTGAGACCCTTTCTCAAAAAACAAAAAAAAATTTAAATTTAGTATGAATATTGAATATTAATCTCTAAGTTGAAGAGCTTTAAAACTGCTTTCAAAATTTTGCCTAGTGAGAAAAAATTCTTCATTCCTATAATACATGGAATAATTTCTCATGGAAAGCATTGGGGCTTTGATGTTACAAAATATTCTGTCTTTGTGTTTACTCTCACTGAATGCTCTCTTCACAGGACTCCAAGAAATAACTTTGTTTACTATCACAGTCTTCCGACTTTGAGGTCTGATTTATGTTTTTCTTAAACTCATCCTTCACATTTAAAGCCAATTCCAAGACCACAGATTTCTGTCAGAGGATACACCAACAACTAATTGCAGATTCAGAAAACTTGAGAGCAAGAAGTCTCAGTGATCCCTTCGTCAAGCCCAATTCCCTGACATTGGAGAAGAAACTTGGAAAAGAAAACCAAAAACCACCAATAATTGTTAGACTAACTTACAAGCTAACAGCAACACTCCAATAAAGCCCAAAATTTCCTGAATACTAATCAAATCTTCTACATATTACATCTTTATTTAAAAGATGATACATTTAAAAGATAATTTAGTTGTACAACGCACCAAAAAGTATTAGAGCTTGCAAACTATAAAATGAATTGGTTAAGTAAGAATAAATTGTTACAGGATAGGGGATTTATCTCAGTGGTTCTGCTGCCTGCCTCACAAGCAAAAGGTCCCAAGTTTGATCCCCAGTACCAAAAAAAAGTAAAAGAAAAATTGTTCCAATTATTTCATTAATAATTTCAACCTCAAATTTTATGGCAGTCTTGGGGTATGTAAGTGAGAAAGTAGAGAATAAATCAAGCCCATTTACAAATTTTTTATGAATACTTTTACTTTCCTAGACTGACTGATGGGAGAGTAGCACTTGTTTTGGTTATGAATCATTTTGCTTCTCTTTGCTCTCCCCACTCCTTCCTGGCCTAAAATATAGATCTGAACCAACCCTAATAACTGAAGATGTTCCAAAATACAAACAGTAAATCCCAAGAATTACCCATGACATAAAAGCACTGAAAATGCCTTCACTTTAATGATCTTCCTCAAAAAATTGACAAAGGAATCAGTATATTAAGTATATAACTGATTATCAAAAAAGAGAGCATTTATTCTACTGATAAAGATAAATTCAGGAACTTCAAACAATTATTTCCTAAAACTCTCCTTCAAGTACAAAAACAAATATTATTTGGAAAAAAAAAACTTTATTTGAAAGATTAGTTTGGTGTTTCTGGAGAGTTTTTTGAATATATAAAAGATCACACAGTGGGCTGGGAGTATGGCCTGTAGGAGCATGTACTTAGCACGTGGGAGGCCTTGGGTTTCATCTCCAGAATCACAAAAATAAATAAATAAATAAATAAATAAAAGGAAAAACTTAAAGGCACAAATTAAAGTACTCATTACACTAAACTAACAACAGCAAAAACAAAAACCCCACAAATACATTTCAGTAAAACTACCTAATTCAAAAGCAAACTAAATTTGTCATTTTATTTTAATCAAAGAATTTATATAGCTTCTTGAATTCCACTGTACCGAAACTCAACTTGACCTCATAAAAGCATCTTTTGTATATCAAAACTATTTTATGTACAAACACCCCCCTCAACTGAGTCACTACTTTACATAACAAAAAATCATAAATAAAAAAATGCTACAACATTTTCATTTAATCTGCTTAATTTTACCTTTTTGCTACGGTGTACTTTTTTTCTCTAATATATTTGCTTGGGGGAAGGTCACAGTGTTTTATATTTGTTTTGGACAATCTCACCAAAAAAAATTTTTTTTTAATGTTTTGTTTTTGTGGTACCAGGGATCAAACTTGGGTTCTTGTGCTTGTAAGGCAGGCTGCGGAACCACTGAGCCAAATCCCCAGCCCTCACTAAAATATTTTTAAAACGTTAGAATTTTCTCTGCAGAAAAGCACTTCTCTGAACTAAATACCTACTGGATGAAGGGCCAGTAGACCGTATCTAATTCCATGAGACCTGGTAGAGAGAAACAGCCTAACAAGGAAAAAACTAAATCAAACACTGAGGACATAGGCAACAGGAGAAAGTACAGAAGACATGGAAAGTGGCAGATACTGTAGCACATGACAGCTCTGGAGTATAAAATGGAACTAAGGGCTGGGATTTAGCTCAATGGTGCTGCCACCTGCCTCACAAGTGCAAGGTTCTAAATTCAATCCCCAGTCCCCCCCCCCCGCCAAAAAAGGCGGGGAACTAGCAAAACTAAAGGCCAGGTCCTAGAGAAAAGAAAACCTGGAACCTGGAGATGCACATGAAACACAGAAGTAAAATACTGATCAGAAATACTAATAGGGAACACTATGCTGCTTAACTGTGTGTCATGAATAGAAAGCAAGCCCTTACTCAAAGGGTATAAATTAACATGTGTTTCAAATGTATAGGCTGGTTTCAAGTAGTATGAAGCCAGTATGAGAAGTAAAAAGACTCCAATTTTCACAAGAATTACCTTGTATAAAATAAAGCATACAGCAATTAATCCCACACCTCAATCCTAGCCACTAAACACAAAAACAACAAAGAGATGCTTTTCCACAAGGTAGCACTAAACTTTCATTAAGCATTCTTTTTTACTTATGTACAATAAACAGCTTTCTGAACTTACATAAATCATTGATTCTACTTCAAATCTATACAAGAACAAGAGAGTATATTAAAGAAGACCCAAAGTATTTACTAAAAGGCAAACAACATTCTAAATTATACATTACAGGTTTTTACTCTTGGGGAAAAATGATCTTCCTTTTTTATTGACTATATGCACTAAGTCTCATCACAAATGTGTGCTAATTATGGAATTAAGGTATCAGTCCCAACTGTTCTTCAAATCTGTAGTAAATTTGGGTATGATCTTTAAATTGGCTGATCCAAAAAGCTAAGGTGGGAAGACTGGTAAAGGAAAAAAGAATAACATCATGTTTTTGTTCAATGTATTAAAGAAGGCAGACTGTGATTTGGTGGTACAAGGCACGGGGTGTACACGCACACAAAGAAAGTAGGCTAGATCCTCCTGCTCTATACCAGCTCTTGAAAGCTGAATAAAGGGCAAGTGTGAAGCAGTGTTGGTCTCTCATGGATAGGACAGAGTAGAGTCTTTGGGTAAAAAACTCAAACTTGAATTTAAAAACTTCAAAGGAGTTTGTATCTCCTAAATATATGGAAGTACTTTGCTTTTGTTAGTAATTGATCAGGATGTGCATTAACATGTTGAGCTCAACCATTCTAAGCAATACATTTAAACCATATGGCTTAGAAGTCAGTAATAAATAGTAATAGCACCAGAAATCAGAGTAAACAACAACCTTTGAATGAAAGGAAGTGTAAGGAGAAGACAAATTTGAAGTTCAACTCCAATATCCTCTCTTTGTAGAAAAATTATCTTCTGTAGCAACTATTTCCAGGTTTTGTTTTGTTTTTCCAAGACTTTCCTAACAATCTTCCTTTGCATAGGAAAATCAAAGTACTCCCAAGAAATGCTAAGTAGAATCACCTCAATTCGCACTCTACAGTCTAATTACCAGAGAACCACTCAGTTAGGGGGTTCTAAAATGGAGATTTCTATTAACATACAGTTTAAGTAACTTGAAAAGACTCACCTGTAGGCTTAACTGAATAAAACCCAATGGCCTCTCCTTTCTTCCACAGAATCTTAGCATAATCAGTACTGCTATGACACAGGAATGGGATCTCATTTCTCTCCATTTCCTGTTTTCTATAAATAATGCGATTCAGAACATACAGAACCACTCTCTCCCCAAGAGTGCTCACCTACAAAGAGAGGCAAACAGCAGGCACAGCAGTTACCATATGCAGCCCACAGGGAAGGTTTCTCACCCTGCTCCTGCCCCCGTGCCTTGCAGGGCATTCAGAGCACTCTCGGTGCATTCAAAGTGATTATAAAACATTTCATTATCACAGAGAGATGAACCAATCTTTCCACTCCATTTCCACCATTTCCACAGACATATTTTATGTGTGGAATACTGTCTCTCAGAAAGTCTAATACAAGCAAAACAGGTTCCCAGTGCACCCCTCACTCACCCAGCACCTCCTTCATGCTTATGTCCTCTTCATACTTTCACCCGCCCAGCTCTACCACATCCTCTCTATGAATCCTGCTTCAACTCTCTTTATCCTTTCCTAGTTTTCATATAATAATAATAATAAAAAAAAGCTAGCATGATACTCTGAAGACTTTAAGAACAATTACCTCATTTGCTAAAGGAAGCTGTAATTATACCCTTGGGAAAGGCATCTGTCTTATTTTTTTCAAGTGAAATGTTCATTTAACATTCCTGTCTTTGCTGTAACTATAGGAATAACCCATCCCATCCATCCGAACACCCCTCTGCTAAACCAGATGAGCAAGGACAGCAATAATGGGAAAGTCTAGTGAAACATATGACTTGGGGCAGCCACAGAATAGAAACAGAGCTTCATTTCCACATACAGGGCCACACGGGTACAGGAACCCCACTAACACTCACAGCCTTCTGACATCAGTTTTTCCCCATAGACATCTTTCATGCTAAAAACAAGAGTTCTGTACATAAAGTCTTTTTCTTCCAAATCCCCTGAAGGGAAAACAAGTTTGCTTTCTAATGAGTTGAGTGGAGAGAGAAAGGATTAACCATACATGCAAACTACTCTCAAAAATGCCCCTGGCAGGGATCTCCAATAGCAGAAAGGGCCATGACAGAGCTGACTGGCACCAATGGACAGGGCAACCCATTCCTCCCTTGAACAGCTCTGACCAACATGAAATTCTTCCTCAGGCTGCTGCTGAAACCTATTTCCCAAAAACTATACTTTGATATTCTGTTGCCACACAGCCTACCAATATTTGAAGATGGCAAAAATTCTCTTCTAAATTTCATACCAAAGCTGAACAATGAAATAACTGAAAGAAAAGGCTGACCAAAATAAAATCTGGGGGGCTCTTGCCACTCTGCTCTTTTTTGGAAGGGCTTCAGATCCCTAGTATTTCTCTTTTTTGGCACATGGGCATTACAGAAATAAAAGCTGAAGATATTGCAGAGGCAAGAGGACAGCTCTGGAGAAAATTAACATTTTCATTTTATTTCTATTTAAATAAAGCCCTTAACTAAAGCCCAAGTCTTTTCCACATGTGCTGCTCTTTCAGTTAGGTGCTCAGAGCAGACAGGCACAGCTAACTATCTTGGAGCTTTATAGGTATCATGACACATTTATTCTTTCTTAATTCCATCAAGTTAGATCCTTCCCTGTGTTTCTTCACTCTGTCTTCCACACGTAAGTTCCTCTATTCAGTGTGTGACATGCAAAATTGCTAAGTTGGCTGTCTATGGTTTCCTCTAAAAATGGTGATGGGTAAAGGTTTAGGGAAAGTGGGAAGGGTAGGGGAAGAGGAAAAAGGGAAAAGAAAAAAATGTGAGAAAATGAAAAAATGGAATTAAAGTATTTGTAAATGGGGAGGAGAGGGTGAAGGGAGGGTAGGGACAAGGGGAAAAAATGAGAACCTTGTAAAGGTACAAGATCCCAGTAATGAATGTAACTGTACTGTACACCTAGAATGTATCAATAAACTCAATAAAAAATAATAAATAAAAATGGTGATGGGTGAGGGATCAGGACAGAAAAGAGACAAAGTTTTACAGTATGTTATTAAGGACTTTCCTTCCTGAGCACTAGGCACAGGATTATGAGCTTTATTATCTCACTTAACTTTACAACTATGAGACAGTGGGAAAAAAGGTTTATAATAACAAAGTCACTAGCTAAGGTCATATGTTTAAGTGGAAGAATGGTTATTCCTTCCTCTGACTTTACCGATCAATTTTTCCTTACTGGCAAGGGTCTCACTAAAGTAACAGTTTCCTTTCACTGATTTTCCCATTTCTCAAGTGGGAATGTTGTCACAAAGTAATTAGGCTGAAGGAGACCTATTTTTGGAATCCCAACAATCTTATTTTGGTCCTGACTTTCCTTCTGTAATCCATACCTGGGGATTTCATAATTTGTTAGGGTGAGGAGAGGCTATCCAGACTATCATAAGATTTCTCCTTCTCAAACTAAAAAAAAAAAAAAAAAAAAATCCTTCTCTGTCCCTTAACCTTCCAACTAAATGTCCAAATTTCAGTTACATTTAAACATCCCAGGATGTTTACCTTCTGGACATGCACACTTAGTTCAGCTAATAGCTGTTCCTGAGAGCAAGTTATAGTCATCTACTGATAGTCCACTTCTCCCTTTTGACAGCTTTACACAGGATTTTTTTGTTGGTTTTTCAGACAAGGTCCTGCTATGTAGTTCAGTATACAGGATTTTAATTCTCTCCACCCCTTTAATTCTGTGTTTCAAGTTCTTTATCAAGCTGGTAGATATCCAGGTGTACATTCTCCCAGTCTGTGAGATAGATCCACTGCTCTGGAATCTCAAAGCATATTCAATAATGAATGTAATATCCAGAAGGAACCATACTAAGTATATTACTATCCTTCTATCATCCCTCCCTTTAAGTTTGATATTTTTTTTGAAGTTCCAAACTCAAAAGGAAGAAATGAGAACATTCCAGTAACCCACAACATTCTCACTTTCCTATCCTAGTTTTCAAAGTTTCTAGAAATGCTTTCCTGGTTTCTGATTATTGGCTCAATTTGCCCACTAAAATGAACAGAAATAGCTGACACCATGAGGATCTGATAAGTTTTTTTTACAGACTTGCCCTATCCTAGAATCCACCTAAAGAAAGAATACTAGTATATATATTTGTATCTGTTAACCCTATTCCTCCTCAGCAAGGTCTCTTCCTCAAAGGGTAAATTAACATAGATCTCTGCATTTACTGAGCAATAGTAATGCTTAGTATTCTTCATAAGAAAAGCCTGATGTACCTTATCTAAGCCAAGTGTCCTGTTCTTCCACTTTTACTATACATCACAGTCTTCCTGTCACCAAAGACATCAACACTTTTCCACTTTTCTCTGCCTACTCTATAATATTTACTATCTCAGTTTCGATAGTTTTTTCCCTTCCTGTCCTGTCTACTCTCTAACCACAGCATAGGGATGCCTCTTGAGGTTACAGCTCTAATATGCAAACCAGTATTCTCTTGGAACATGAGTCAGTTGGCTTCTGCTCTGTCTGAACCTGGTCACTGTCCTGCTTCAAACACTACTGTATCTTAGCCAGAGAAGGCCCAACTAATAAAGAAGGCTCTTGGTCCATGTTCTCCAGTGATATGGAAGCTTAGCAACCACACCAAGTGGACTAGCCTTTCCTCTACCAACTAAGAAAATCAGAAGCTCACCTAACCCACAGGTGCTCAGTTTTCTTCACCCAATTCCTCATACTTTCAGAGTCACATAAAATAGAGGAAACCCAACCTGAATGCTGGTTTCATCATAAGACTAAAACTCCAGGGGTTTAATATAAGGCAATCATATTAAAATGGGAAAGAGTTCAATAACTTCAAAGACTATCACCATTTATAATTATAAGAGCTTGTTACCTGCTTAAGTCCCTCTCTAGCAGGAACAGATGTTTTCACAATATCATCAATAGCCCACCACTGATCAGCAAGGTAAAGAGCCACAGCTAAAACAGAACAAATGATCATTAACACTTAAATCTTAAGGTTAATGAATACAGTATTACTGTTTCGTAAGGTTATATTGCTTCTCTTAAATATAACAACACCAGGGCTGGGGATTTAGTTCAGTGGTGCCACTGCCTGCCTCACAAGCACAAGGTCCCAAGTTCAATCCCCAGACCCAAAAAGAAAAAAAGAACGTATAAACCTATACCTTTTAATACAGTGTAGCCCCATTTACAGCATTTTTATTTTGTTTTATACATTCAACATTTGATTATAAGAAATAAAAAATAACATTTTTGGGAGAAATGGTGGCACACGCCTATAATCCCAGCACTCAGGAGAATGACACAGGAGGATGGCTTCAAGTTCAAGGCCAGACTGGGCTATACAGTGAGTGTAAGGCCAGCCTGAACTACCCAGCAAGACCTGTCTCAAAACAAGCAAACAAACAAAAATTACATCTTTCTAAATTTATAATTTGAAATAAATTATTTAAAAAATAAATTCCTTCCTATAGTTACCCATTTAATAAATTTCTAGTGGTTTGGAAAAAGCTCCTCAATTTACAAAAATGAAGCAAGAAAGAGACCTGTGAGTGAATCCTCAGGAGCAAAAAGAGCAAGAATTTTCTGGGTCTGATCTCCACCATAAAGAGGTACAAAGCCTACATTTGATAGACTAATAGGAATCTGAAATGACAATTGATTAAAGATTAGTTAAGAAAATACATAACATACTACTAACATGTACTAATCAAAATTTAAAATCTTAAAAAAATAAAAAATGAAAGTTTTACCCAAATATTAAATTTTTCCTTCATTAATTTTAATTTTACAGCTTCATTTCAAGGTGACAATCTCCCTATTCCCTAAAATAAAAGTAAAATCAGATAGATTTCCTTTTTTGGAAGAATTTTATTACCTTGGGGGAGTGAATATGTAAATATACATTATGTTTTGGCTACATGACTAAATAAAAACAAAGACCATGATATGATCCATTGAGTCAATGAAAATCAATCCTAGTTTATCACCTTTACTTGGCCTACATGAAGGGGACATATTCCATTTTCCAGTGAAAGAAGCCAGCTAAGTAAATCCATTTTTCCAGCAAGATACATGCAATACTTCAACAGTCTTCATTAATCCAACATGCATTCTCCATTCAGAGAAAATATTTTAAGTCAGACAATATAAAATATCGGCACTTGAGAAGACTTTACAAATCTTTTAGATCAACACCATTTCCAGAAGAAAAATCTGAGGGCTGAAGAGGTTAAGGAATTTGCCCACCTCAGTTCACAGTGGAAGTCTAAAGATTCCAAGTCTAATGATCTTGCTACCATAATATATTGTGACTTGCTGACTAGAAGTTCTGAATCCTTACCATTTTCAAACAAGGAAATAAAGATTAATGTCACAAAATTTAATTTAGTATTTGGCTCATTTTTTCTAACTAAAAAGAAATTTCTGAACTTACATTTTCCAAATCAAAAGTAAATTTAATTAACTCCAATATAGTAACTAGACTTAGCAAAACTGGTAAACTTCTTAAATATAATTTTAAGGACAAAAAGACAAACATTAAGCAATAACCTGTGGATTTTGTCTGTTTAGAAACTGCTCATATTAACACATTTTACTGGCCAGATTTTCAATACAGATTACAAAACTCAACAGTTAACACTATAAAATGAATAAAACAAACAAACAAAAAAAAGTTGGTTTCCTGGACTCAAAACATTGGAAAAAAAACCAGAACAAAGTGCCTTACCGTAATATTGGGAAGAGGAAAACACTCTGGGTTTTCAGGATCCCCACATCTTAAATCTGACATGTAATCTTCAGCAGAATTTTCCAATTCCTCATGACTGCAATTATCCAGCAAATCCACAGGGAATGCCATCCTCTTTAACAACACAGAACAACATTTTTCAGATATGAAATGTCATCTTCCTTATGCATACAAAAAACTTCTTCTGTAATACTGTCATATTTTATTTTAATAGGACTTTTGTATACCAAAGACAATTTGAACCTACTAGCTTAACCATGTATGTAAAAAAGAAAACTCCAGCGTTATTCATTTGTATTAAAAAAAGGCAGTGAAATGGAAATTAATACTCTCTTCAACAAAAAATGTATACATATTTCAGGAAAATAAAAATAATGTCTGGAAGCTAATGGCCATTACTTTGAGCATCTCCTGTAATTGTAAAGGCCAAAGGTAACTTTGATGTCCCAATAAATTTAGTACTAAAACATTTATACAAGATTATCTTTTCCTAAAGTGTGTATAGATTTTTAGGCAAACTCTGTACATTTATACAGAATATAAAAATATGTAAATAAACATACCCTTACATACTACAACATAAAAGTAACTAGAAAAGATGCAAAGGAACTTTCTGGAATGAATGATACAAATGTTTACAACTGGGTGTGGCAAAAGATGTACAAAAGCCATAAATTTACTTTAAAAAAAAAATCAGCCCTGTTTTTTTAAATCATTATATTATATACATATATATATATATACATATACACACACACACACATATATATATATATATATATATATGTATATGTATATATATATGCTGACATTTAATGGACGCCTTTCAGCCTGTTTTTTTTGTAACTGACATCTGTAGAGGATTTTCCTCCACAGCCATTCCTCTTCTGGTAATAGGATCCCTCTCCTACTTTAGGAATTCTCTCTGTGCTCTACCATGTATTTCTTGGTGTTGTCAAAGTATCCATCATCTCCCAACCAAGAAAAAGGCACATTAGAATGCCTATCCCAAACTATCTTAAAAAGTTATGTAAAGGAAATAAAAATCAATGTGTTATTTAATACACTGGTATTTTAAAGAGACTGAACTTAGTTGTTGCTATGAAGAACTCTGGTGCTACCTAAGTGCCTTTTATTTTCAAAGTTTTTTCTTTGATTTTGAACTGGGCAATCTATGATAATAAATTCCTTTCTATGATTAAACTAGCCTGAGTTTTTTTTGTTGTTGTTGTTGTTGCTTGCAACCCAGCAAGTCTGGCTAATGCACTATTGTATCCTCAATCCAAATTCTCACAGCAGTTTAACAGGAAATTTGTGTAAACTGAATCCAAAGTTTTGATCCCAGGATTTTATATAACCAGTTTTCTTTTTTTTCCCCGGTATTGGGGATTGAACTCAGGTCCTTGAGCTTGTGAGGCAGGCAGCAAACCTTTGAGCTAAATCTCCAGCCCATATATAACAATTTTTAAATTTTTTTTTGTTTTTACTGATACATGTCAGCAGTACAAAATGATTATATTTATCATGAGAGTTGGTACAAGTATATAACACATCTAATTCTTTTTCTCCATCCCCTCCCTGTCCTAACCTACTTCACCTCTCCCATCTCTTTATGCTGTAGTACCCTTACGATGGAATTGACAATGGTAGATTGTAGAATGATAACTCAAGAAATGAAGACTACTCATTTGTCTTCAACACTTAATTTTACCCAGACAGATAATTTAAACTGGGTAAGCACCTTTTGCTATAAAAGGCTTTCTGTGGTTATTTTTGGACTTACTTTTCCCTTTCTACTTCCAAGTCTTTCCTTGTCATCTCATTCCTTCCCTGCCCTGCTTCTTTTTCTTCCACTTCCCTTCATTCCCCTACCTTCCCCATCCCTTCATTCCCCTACCTTCCCCATCCTAATCTTGCCAGTGACAGCAAGAGGTGCATATTAATTATTAATTATGCTTATTATTTATTGTATTAGCTTATATTTAGTAGATATTTCTTTTGCTATTTAAAGTAAATTTAGATTATCTGTATTCTCTTAAAACATCTAAAGATGACAATTAACTAGACTTTGAAGATAATGATCAGGAAACTAACAAATATGTTCCACTCCTCAGGTGGAGACAGGCTACAAGAAGATACCTTGGAAAACGGTGCTCTAGAGAAGTTACAAATCAATGGCTTCCTGTGGAGAAGAACAAATTAAAATAGGAAAATACAGACTCCACAAGGGGAACTATGGAAAAGACAAATCAGCCAGACATGTCACCACGGGCATTCAGGTTGCCACAAGAACAATGATAAAACTTTAATTAGTACATTAAGACTCCAGAAGCTGCAGAGAAAAGTAAAAATAATGAAGATTTTAAATTATCCAAATATAGTACAGGTGTTTGACATCACCAAAACTAAGAAAATATTCTATTTACTAACAGAATATGCCAAAGGTGGTAAAATCTATGACTATTTGGTTATCCAGGGAAAACTGGATGAAAAAGAACTAAATTTAGACATATCTGCAGTAAAATATTGCCATGATAAAGAGATAGCACGTAGAGACCTAAACACCAAGAAAATATTGTTAGATGAGGAAATGAACATCTAAATTGCAGGGATTCAGCACAAAATTCACTGTGTGGCAGTCCTGCGTACGCAGCCCCAGGAATTCACTTGGAGCCAGAAATTGATGTGTGGAGCCTCACTATGGTTATGTATAATCCAATCAGTGGGTCACTCCCCTTTGATGAAAGAAATCTGAAGCAAAGGAGAGAAAGTGTTCACACAGGGAGATACAGAATCTTTTTCTACCTATCAGCAGACACTGAGAAGTTTCTGAAGTGATTCCTTGTCATCAACTCAAAGAATTATGGCACTATAGATCAGATCATGAAGAAGTGGATAAATGAAAAGCACAAGGGAGAAGAACTTCAATCATTCATTGAAAAAGCACTAACCATCTGAAGACTAGCAAAAGAATAAGTATAATTGCTATGGGATTCTCAGAAAAAGAAGTTCACGGACTTCTTTCAGAGAGGAAATATAATGAAAACTCAGCTACCTATTTTTTGCTGGGGAGAAAAATCTGAGCTAAACTCTCCTCACTCCAGTGCCAGAAGGTTTCTTTCACTTGCTATGGTTCAGCCATGCAGCAATCTCAGCAAATGCACTGGCTGCACTCCTAGCCACAAAGTGCAGACAAGTTTGTCCTGCAGCAGGACTCAGAAACTATATACTGACTATACTGGATCAGCTATTCCTTCAATAATTTTCCATACAAAGAAGTATCAGAAGATCATCACTATGACCTCCAGGAAGATAAAATTCCCTCTAAGAAACCTGTCAAGGGCAGGAAAATTGGTACAGCCAGTTCCATATGTGGTCCCAAGTAATTCTGACCAAGAAGATATTCCTCAATGCAAGAAAAGCCCTGCCATGCCCTGTAGTGGCAACATTTGTTAGAAGATTTGTTGGAACATTGGCGATGGTGCAGAACTCTTCTTTTACAATGAGAGACCTACTGCAGAGAGATGCTTAGTGATTTATAATTTGAAGGACGACAGCATCATTTGTGAACGGAGAACACCAGTTTCTTCAATCCACATTATTAGCAGTGCAACCACCCAGGTTGGCATCCACTTGCCAAGAGCCAATACCAATGGCAGCATTCTTACTATCAGCAACATGACATTGGAGTTCCAACATACAAAGGCCCATCTCCACCACCCAGCCTCTCCCAAGAAGCTATACCACTGCCCCAGATTCAATGTGGAGGCTCCACTAATCTTTTTAGTCAATTAACTTCTAACTCATAAGCAGTCACAATGTATTTGTCAGACAAGAAGCAAAACCTCGGACCCTCCATTTCACTTGCAGAATGAAAACCACTATTTCCATGGATCCAGGGACATCTTAAGGGATATCCAAAGAGTCCTGGATGCAAATAACTGCAACAATGAGCAGAGGGAGCACTTCTTTCTCTTCTGCATCACAGGTGATGGGCCTGGTAGGAAGCCTGTTTGGTGGGAGATGCCAAGACTGTAACTGAACAGGGTCCCTTTTAAGTGGAAGGCAGGCACATCCATAGCATTGCTTTGAGGATAAGGGATTTAGCTCAGTGGCACCTCACTGGCCTTGCAAGCACAAGGTCCTGAGTTCAATCCCTGGTACAAAAAAAAACAAAAAACAAAAAACAAACCCAGAAACACACACACACACACACACACACACACACACACACATATTTGCTTTGAAAATTGCCAGTGAGCTAAAGCTGTAACCCACTAATTACTATTTAAATCAAGTGGCAACTGAAAGTATTTTCCTGAACACTGATGGAAATGTATAGAATAATGTTTAGGAAATAACATGTGCATCTTCTAAATCATGGCTTAAAGTCTAAGGATGAGAAAAAAAACATTCTCATAGCATACATTCACATTTGGGTTCACTATCAATGTGTCTTTCTGGCATTACAATAGTTTCCTATTCTAGGGCCTTAGTGCAAAAAAGGTTTCATTCATCTTATAATCTCCCAAGGCATCTAGGTCAGGCTTGGCATGGGCAGATGTTTTTTGTAAATATTACAAATTAAATGGACCTGAATAACTTTCCAATGACTGTAGATTAGACAGTAGGTGTGGTGGAATACAAGGTGACACGTGTCAAAGACACTGATGGGCTGGAACTAGTGTAGAGGTCCAGTGCTGCAGCTATCAAGCATGGAGATTGGCAGGTGCACTCAGTTATGCTGGCAGGCACTGGTCCTAGATCTACATCCAAGGCAACAGGGCAAAGCCAGGGGATCTGACCCACTACAGTGCTGACAAAGACAGCTCTTTCTGTCCAATAACTACTGTTTCTAAGGTGGATTTCTGTAACCTTTCATTGATATGGTCATAGTAAAGCTGAAGCAAGTGGGTTATCTCACCTGGCAGGTGGGACACAAAGACCAGAGGTCAGGTATTGCTCAGAAGTCCAGTAAATAGCTATTAAAAAGCATCATCAGGAGCCAAGATTAAAACCTTTGGAAGGAGAATGTTAAGACCAATGAAGATGTCAAATTTTACTGATAATGATGTTAACAGTACTGAACGAATAGGTGTTTGCTGATCAGAATTCACTACTTCCTGCCCGAGTCTGGCTTGCTCTTAGCAGTGTGGGTAGGTCTGGACCTACATGGCCTTTGCTGTGAGAAAGGAGGCAGGGCTGCAAACATGGATGGGTCAGATGAGTTTCTTTGGGTGCAGTTTTTTTCCCTTGAGACCAGTTGTTTTAAATGATTATGAATAACTTTTAGACTTAGTCTGCATTTTAATATCTATTTAGATAGGGTATTACAGAATTAACATTTGCAGCTATTTTAACTAAAGTTCTTGTTATAAAAATCAAATATAATTGTGGCCCAGATAAATGACATATATACATTAATTCATATTTTAAAGCAACCAGGACTTCATAAACTCTTTCATTTTATATATTTGAGGCTACATAGACACCTACAAGTTTGTGATGACTGTATCTTTCTTATAAGTTATTCCAATTTTTAAATAAGATTGTAGATTTTTTTTCTTTTTTCCAGTACTGGAGATTGAACTCAGGACCTTGCACTTACAAGGCAGGTGCAGTGCCACTGAGCTAAATCCCTAGTCCTAGGTTGCGGGTTTTCTTCATTCTTTATAATCATTTTTGCCTTACTATTTAAATTTTTCTGATGCTAGTGTAACTATGGTGCTTTTGATTCATGGCTCTTTAGTATAACTCATCTGGTTTATTTTCAGCCTGTCCAAATCCTCACGTTTTAAGTACAGCAGTTGCAGTGAGTGAACGTGGAGGTACAGAAATTATATCTCATACAAACAAGTATCTGTGAAGCAGAAAAACTACAAAGAAAAAGCCTGTAGTTGCTTCACTTCTTTCAGAAATGTTTTATGGCTAATTTTGAATATTATGAGGAAACACTACAGGCTTTCCCACTAAAGTCAAGAAGTTGTGATTTCTAAATATAGTTTAAAAACAGGCACAGTGGTGCACACCTGTAATCCCAGCACTCAAGAGGCTGAGGCAAGAGAAGTGCCATGAGTTCAAGGCCAGCCTAGGCTATTTAGTGAGCTCAAGGCCAACAAGAACTACATAGAGAGATCCTGTCTCAACAACAAAAATAAACAAATACATAATTTTAAAACTTTATTTATAATATGAAAAAATTAGAAATGATTCTCCTAACTCCAGAGCCCCCCCCCACACCTGTCCTTACTTAAATCCATTACTTTGTTACCAGTCACTCTCAATGCATTTCATTAATCTTAAAGGACAATGAAAGAACCAGAAAAAATTAGCAGCAATGTTTCATCAACTAAGCAACAAAGCTTTGGAATTTAAAGAGACGTGACCACATCACGCCACTAGCAGAGCCAGAAGAACTGAACCCAGGCTGTACCTCCTAATGCAATAATTTTTATTCAAAATACAAAATCAAATATCACCAGATTTTGTCATGGTTATATAAAATTTATGTTTGTAAAATTACAAACATAATAATAAACTATTTTTACATAGTCTATTCTCATATTATACCAGAAAGAGTCCTGGAATTTTACTTCTGTAACTCTAGTTCCTAGGTCAGCTCCACCCTCACTAGCTTTACAACTGCAGGCAAGTGCTGTACTTCCTCTCCTCAGGCTTTGGTATTCCCACTGGCAAGATGACACAACTGGACAGGATAATCCTAAAAAACTATTTCACCTCTAAATTCTTCTAATGAGTTTTTTAAAATCCTGGTGACACCTACATAACTACTATTATTATGATGGTTCTGTTCCAGTATAGAGACAAGGGATGGGGTAAGAAATACACACTGCTAAAATAAATCCCTCAATTCTCCCTCTTTTTGTTGTTTTTAAGCTTCTGTTCTACATTATATAAGTATAAAGCTGTCAGATCAAATTTTGTCAAGTACTTTACACTCTGCCCATGAGATAAACCAAAAGGCCTAACCAGATTCTACATGACTGAGAAAGCTTAATGTAGCCTCAAGCCAAATCATCAAAAAAGTGTCACAGAACAGAATGAAGTATAAAAGTGTCCAGATTAATTCATGAAGGAAACAGTAAGCTCATTAATTCTGGGTAACCTGAATAAAAACAAGGCAACTCTTACATAAGAGCTTGAAGATATCCATCTTTTAATAATTTTACCCCTTTTTTCTTGGGGAATCACATTTGAAACAAATATGCTGCTAGAAAAATTTGAAAATGAAGTTGGAAAAAATTTTTATCACTGTGATTTTCCTATTTATCATTAATACTCTAAAAAGAGAACATATTTACATGTTCAGTTCCTAAATTACTGCACACTTACCATAGGTTATTGCTATCGTTTGAGGGCTTTAGAGAAGATTTCAGAACTGAAAGAATTCTCAGAGAAAATATAATTATCTCAACCTATCCGAGTCATGTTCTTACCTCTGATAAATGCTGCTGCAACAGGGAGAACAAGTTAGGTATCCAAGCAACACAATCAGCAATGCTTTCAACCCTGTACACAGAAAGCCTGTTTCTGAATCTTATTATGATTTTTCTCTTGATTCTTCCCTTGCTTTTCTTGCTACCAACACTTTCCTCCCTAACACAGACCCTGCATTACATCAGCTCAACTGATCTCTGTATCTCAGCACTTACCTGATACTCTTGCAAGTCCTCCAAACAAGGCCCTAAATCCTAGGTTCATCCCACTACTCACCTCCACTCTGCGTTGAAATGTTTAGAGTGACAAGACAAAGTAACTTAATAGACTGCTATAACTATCCAAATCTCTGGTGGCCTCAACACTGCTTGGCAATCCCTTTACAGCCTCTGTGAAAAAAAAAAAAGAAAGATTTAATTACATGTGGACAAGAACTGCCAATACTCTGTAGGCAATACTTTGTACAATTTGTACCTATTGCCTCTTATTTCAAGTAGGAAACAAACCCATTTTTTGAGGTAACACTAACTAATCCAATAATGGACTATGTTCCAGGCTCTGTTATATAAGCAATTCACCCAAATTTTTTCATGATGTTGTTATTGTAAATCCATGAGGTGTGTATTTTTAATTTTTTTCCTCTTGGCAGATGAGGAGACTAAGAAACAAAGCAGTTGGGTAACTTGTTCCAGGGCTCTCAACTAATAAGCAACAAGAGCTAGCATTTGAACTCTGAATTCTCTCAATCACAATAATGTGGCTAAAAGTATGGCATCTTAGAACAAGATGATTCAACACTGCTTACTATATACTAGGGGAGTCTCTTGAGGTTCTAAATGGAGGTTTAATTCAGTCCTCATGTCCAGAATACTCCAAGATGAAGAGTTCAGTCAAAAATGAAGGTCCGGGCATCTGGTCTGCCACAGAGCTTCAAAAGCAAACTCAGTCAGATAACGTAGGGTTCTGCATGTATGAAGGTCACAGAAGACACTGGTTAAGGTGTGCGCTATTGAGCCAAACTGACAGGATTACTGCATAACCACAGGCACATTACTTGAACATACAGAACATGCAGAGGAAAAGGATCTATGAGCTATGAAATATTCTGCAATTGATTGCTGAATATATATTAAAATGTTTGCATTTTTGCCAGGTACAGTGCCATGGGCCTGTCATCTCAGCTACTGGGAAGGCTGAGTCAGAAAGGATCACTTGAGCCAAGCAGTTTGAAACCATCCTGGGCAACAAAGCCAGATCTATTTAAAAAAAAAAAAAAAAAAAAAGCCTGTATCTAAAAACAGAAAAATGGTGGTGCACAACTGTAATCCCAACATTTAGGAGGCTGAAAAGTAGGAACTACAAGTGAGTTCAGGGTCAGTCTGAACTACACAGCAAGACCATTTCAAATAAGTAAATAATTAAAAAAGAAAAATCAGAAGCAAATTATGATCAATATGACCCATGACTCCTAAGAACCCATACTCTTTTACAGACAAATAATGCAATGGTCTTTTAAAAATTAAAACATACGCAAATAAACAAAAGGTACGAATAGATAATTCATAATTCACCAAGGAATGCAGAATATCTTACTATCTGCACAGTAAAAGCAGGATATAAAGAATGATGCTTCACTCCTCAAATATATTTACAGAAGTCTAGCAATAAATTAATTAATAGATGATTTAAAAAAAGAGAAAAAAATAGAAATGGGCTTTGAGCCAAAGCTTCCACTTGACCCTAATACATACTGCATTATAGTAAAGAAATCTGCACATCTGCCTCTGGGACACATAAAGTTAATACCTCATGGCCTAGATTAATAAGCACTATTTATAATCTCAAAGTAGCAGTTTACAAGGTTCCAGTAAAAAATAATAAGAACCACTTAAATGGATACACCATAAAATTTCACCCATTTCAACATTAGAAAATTTATCTAAACTTTTTTATCCCTGGCTTCTTTACCATATATCTAACTATACAAGGCTTTATTAAAATTAGTAGGAAGTGGGCATGGTGGTACATGTCTGCAATTCCAGTACTTTGGAAGGACAGCAGGAGGATCCCAAGTTCAAGTCCAGTCAGGGCAACTTAGTGACTCAAACTCTGTCTCAAAAAAAATCTGAAAAAGGGAGAAGAGGCTACAGAGGTAGCGCAATGCCAAGGCCCTGGGTTCAATTCCCAATACTGCAAATAAATAAATTTTAAAAATCAGCAGGTGTGCTGGGCATGGTGGCACATGCCTGTAATCCCCAGCTCTCAGGAGGATGAGGCAGGAGGATTGCTGGAAGCTTGAGGTCAGCCTGAACTACACAGGAAGACCTGACACTGTCTCAAAAGACAAAAAACAAAAAAAAATCAGTAAGTGTTTGGCATAATAATCCTCTATTGTTATGGTGAAAATAGGTCTATGCCAGGCATGACGATGCTGTTCAATCCTTGGGGAGGTGGGTTACTTGGCATGGCGGCACAAGCCTATAATCCCACTGCTCAGGACACTGAGGCAGTATAAGCAACCCAATTAACTACTATTAATTTATGTCTCAGAATAAGGTCATGAGGAATATCTAGGGCCACTCTAAACTTACAAGCTCCAGTACATGTGTATAAAAGATTTTAACCTGTAAACTCCTTATTTGTGCAGTTTACTTTATGAAACTCACTGACTTTTTCTTCACTCCTATTCATTCTCAAATTAACCCTGTCCTTATCAATGTAGTCTGATTACTCTTAAGGCCCTGAATAACATTCCAACTCCCAAAATGAATTATTTGCATTTTCACTCTTCTTGATGGAATGATAGGACAGAACCAAATGACCACCTCCTGCCATCTAAAAGTTTCTCTTGTTCCTGGACACTCAGGACAATACTCTCTCCCAATTCTTATTTCTATTCAAAGATCCTGTGAGAGAATTAACCCTCTCTTCTGCGTAGTTCACAAATTTATGCAATCCACTAAACTGATTTACTACCAATTCATATTTTCAAAACCTTTATGTATGTAGACATTAAGGAACTTTTAACACTTTAATTCACAATATTTAAGATGCTCTTACTTAGGAATTGTATCTTGTTTAGTGGCTCCATAGACCAACTATATACACCAGTAGCTTTCAAATCTATGCTGTCTGCGTAGATCTCTCTCCAGGTGATTCATATTTCTAACAGCTCACTTCAATATGATAGTATCTTCTATCTCTACCTAGATTCTCCCTCAGTAATTCAAAGCTAAAACAGACCCAAAGTTAACTTTTCTCCCTCTCTAAGCCCATTTCTTCTTCCTCTTTTCCAATGTCAGCAAAGCATCTCTAGTGGAACCTGCATGCCAAGACTTGTTGGAATCATCTTACAATCATTCCTTTCCCTTTTTGTCACAACCGTTCATCATCATTACAAAAAAAATTGGCTATACTGTTACTAAATTCTTGTCACCTGGCAGGCAGTAAATTTTATATATTATTTCTAATAAGCTTACTAAGGATGTTTTCTCACTCATTTTACAGCTAAAGCAGCCAAGCCTTGGGAAAGCGTTAAGTTCTCAGATCCATAAGCAACAGGGTCCTGGTGCCCTTTGGAATCCAATCTGAAGACAGGGCATGGATAGTTCTTTCCATCTCAGGTACTGCCTTTCTACTTAAGCCAGTCCCTACATCTAGCCCTTCCTTTGTCACCACTGTCACTACCTTGATTCAGAGCCTTGCACAGATTATCACAGAGGTTTCTACAATCCAATCTAGCTTTTAACCTGCAACAGAATGATCTAAAAATGACTTATAAATCTCATCCTGTCAACTCTTTCCTTCCAAAATGGTTTCCCATCACCATGGAGCAAAACCTTAACATATCTAACCACAACCAGGCTCCAATCCACCATGGTATATGAGTCAACTCAACTGACCTCACTGCTATCCAGTGATACCAGTCATAACTCATGCTTTAGTGTTTGCTGTGAATATTTCTCATGTCCCACACCTCCAAGGCAAACTCTCATTTATCTATTATTCAAGAACAACTTCAACTGTTGTTATTTTATAAAGTCCACCCATACTCAACACACCCCACTTCAGCACACCCTATATCATATAATAGACTGTATACAGTAAAACTGTGGATTACAAATAACTTGTTCTGAAAGACAAGCAAACAACTCTAATATATTTTAACTTGATGAACAATGTTTTGAATATGAATACAGAGTATGTGATGCCAAACATCATATGATCTCAACTGAGCCAATGGTTCTTCTCCCTCCCTGCCCGCCCTAAGTGATTGTGGGTGATCATCTCCCAGCAGCAAGAGGTTATGGAAATCTTGTCTGCAGAAGAGGAGAAAAAGGTGGAGGAATCCCTCACTTCAAATATGAGTAGGGAGATATGTAAAATGTGGGAAACAGTGCAAAACTGTGTAGAAAAGTACTACCCAAATAAGACTATAGCAGCAAGTGATAAATCTGTTTAACAATAATACAATGTCACATTTTCATGAAATCCTCAAAAGGAGGCAAAAGCAAGTGTTATTGGATAGGTTCACTGTTACAGTTGCATGGAAAGAAAAAGATCTCAGTGAGTCAATAGGTTGCAGTGATTCCATTAGTGATAGTAAAAGCCATCCTACACAATCCTTCTGTCTCTCTCTCTCTCTCTCTCATCTCGCTCACATCAGCCACAAAGATTTTCAAAGGTAAGTGCAAGTTAATTTATTTTTCTTTATCTTTTGTACTTTATTACTTTGTATTGTATTACAGTATTGTAATCAAGATTATATGAATATTTTCAGGTTGTGGAATGAGTCACCTGAGTTTCCATTATATTTTATAGGTAAATTTGCTTTGATATACCAGTGCTTTGGATTACAAGCATGTTTCTGGAACAAATTATGCTCACAAACCAAGATGTTTATATTTATATTATACCGATTTTCTTTCTAGTCCAAAGCATATCTTAGGCTGAATAGTTACCTGTACATAAACCTTTAATTTTCACATGCAAATCTAAAATTCGATCCAATATTTATTTTATGATGTCTTTAGTAAAAATTAGCAGCTTCTCCCTATCTTTTAATCATCACAACTTTCCCTTCATGAATTCAACTCTGAGTAACATTATCTTCAAAAGAATTGTGAAACAGCCCTGAACCAATTAGGCATTCAAATTTATAACAAATTAAAGAGTTAAAGCAGCAGAAGCCTACTGATGCATGAAGAAAATATCACCTTAATAATCACACCATTTCTTTTCTCCACTTAGAATCATAAATCTTAGAAATGGAAGGGAACAGGAAGGTTGCTTTTAACTTGCTACCCAACTGGCAATCCTTTCTTTCCTACAGGATCCTTTACATATAATTCTTCAACCTGTGCCTGAATATTCAATTCTTTTAATTACTCCTAAACAGTAAAATTTTTGGACTTTTTAAACCAATTACTGAATGTAACACAAATAAGGCTTCTGAAGGGCTCTTCAGGTGGGATCTAATGGAGAAAAATACTAGTCTTTTTTTAAATTTCTCAGTCATTGGTAAAATAATGCTCAAAAGCTCAAGCTACCATAAAGACAAAAAGCACACCAAATCACCTCTAAACTCATCAATAAAACACAGTTGTACCAAGTTAGAGAACCTCTCTAACATTTATATAAATGGAATCAATGTAACTTTGTTTAACTCCAAGCTGAATTTGCTACAAGAAATAATCCTATCCGCCATGGACATAGTATAGTCCAGACAAGTCAATGGCAATACCTAGCAGTCAACCCTCACTTAATGCTCATCTCTAAAATGTCCAAGGGCCCTGTGTCTCCATAATTCTCCCCAGAGAACATGTCATCAATGGGAAGCACAGCATTCAATATGTACAGTCACTTGTGTGTAGAGAATGACTGGAACTGTCTGACTAAACAGGAAATAAAAAGTTTAATTTTAAAAGGTATAACGTGGAAATTTTCCTCACAAAAGCATTCAATTATTAAGTATTTTTTCTCCAAATCAAAGTCTTTTGCTTGATGTATATTCTACCTTTATTAAAGAAATTACACTGTTTGTAATTTTTGAACAGTATTTCAAAGGTCAGACTAATGGGAAACTTTTCAAGATCTAAAATCCACAGGTAAAACACTTTAATTCATGATCACTCAGGTTAAAAGTTAATGCTACTACTCACATAAAACATTTCTAAATTCAACAAACCAATCCTCGCCATAAATGTAAAAACAAACATACTATGACAATTACAAACTTCCTGTGAAAGACTATCTTGTTTACTTCTTTTTGTGCTGGCGGTCACATTATGAATGGACTTTTCCCCAGGTGTTTGTGACCATCTCATTCTGTCTGTTCTCCACTCTAAATGGGCAAAGGTCAAAAAAAAAAAAAAAAAAAAAAAAAAAAAAAAGAAGAAGAAGAAACTAAAATTTGAGCCCGCTCCATTCCATCGTACTCACTAAACGTCTTCCCCTTTGTAAATATTTCATAGCAGGATAACAAGATATAAAACCTGTGCATCCCATGACGTGCACAAAATTTGAGAAATAAAAACGTGTGGCACACCAGACCCAGATCCATTTTGGAGAAGTTCCTCCAGAGCTCAAATGTGTGCATTATGCAACAGCCTCCATTCCAGATGTTAATCCCTGCCTGTGATGCAGTGATAAAATCCCAACGGCAAGTGTGTAATCCACTAGGTACTTAAATAGTATTACAAAATAACAACAAATTGAAGCAAGAATTATCAAATTCTCAGGAATCTGGAAAATGACAAACAGTCCACAGGTTCTGAATCACAATGAAAACTTTCCCTCGTGTAATCTAGTAACACATCTCTCCTGCCCGACCCCCTCAAAAATAACTCGCCCAGAGCGTTTTCGTCTGGGTTGTGAAAGGCTCTCCGGGGGAAGGGGACTTGCATCAGGTGGTTATCGTAAAATCGACTCCCGAAACGATTCCCAAACCAATTTCCCGAAGCCGAACCGAGACGCTCCACCATTTCCCCTCCAAGGACAATACGGGGCAACAAGGGATCCAGACCCGAGTCGCACGCCACCCGGAGCTCAGGACTCCATCCTCCTCCCCTCTCGGGAGGCGCAGGCCGCCGGCGGCGGAGAACGAATCGGGGTAGAATTGCAATGACCCGAAGGGGGGATGGGTGGGCGTACCCTACCTGCTCCCAGGTGGATAGAGCCACGCGTGGCGTCG